TCTCTATTATTTTAAAAAATAATAAGTAGTGAAGAAAAAAAAAACCCCCCCCCCCCCCCCCCCCCCAGTGTACCTGCTTAGTCAGATCTGCCTGATTATTAAGTAATAAAGCAAACACCTAGTGAAGGCACATCATCATAATCCCAATTATATTGCCAATAGCAGTATTCACCAAAAAATATTCTGATTTTGTCATCATAGCCCTGGTAGAACTGGTGGATGTCAGAATGCAGCTCAACCGGTAAATGGCCAGACGAGAGGCGTTTTGTTTACCTTGAGGGCAGTAGCCGCCTTCTTCCAATCAGGAGTTAAATGTTGACAGTGGCCACACCTGTGGGGATGAACAAGAAATTGATTATTAGTTATAAAAGATGAATGTGTCATTTCTATTATAATCTAGCAATAGACACACCTCGTGATTTTCAAATCTGAGACATTTTAATTTGATCATCATGCATCATCGAGTATTTGTCACTCAAATGAATCACAGAAACCAAATTATTCAATATTAAACACTTTTCATTGTCAGTTCTTTGTTCAATACAGAATCGACTTTGCTCCTGGTGCATAAAGCACTTCATGGTCTGGCCTCCGAATATACCTTTATCTGACATGTTTCAAGTTAATTGACCTGGCAGATTCCTCAGGTCACATAACAGCCGTCTATTGTGAAAAGTCAAATATGTCTGCTGTCATAAAGGTTTATTCAATCAAGAATAGAAAATAAAGTAATTTTCTGTTAAATGTAGCTATCTATTTGCTGTGTTGAGTGTGTTTATGAATGTTTACCAGAATATATGCTAAAACGTGTTTATTATAGTTTTTTAATCCAATATCCTGCACGAATTACTTTTGCACGACGGGATTGCGCTCTGCAAATAAACTTGAACTGTATAACTGCAATCTGACCCAAGGAGGAAGTACCATCTTTGCATAAAAGTTTGCCTATAGTCCTTTCTCTCAGATCATAAGGTTGATGTGTCTGTGAGGGAAATTACAAAACAGATGACTCAAACATCCCCGAGTCCATGGAAGATGCTTGCATTTTTAAACTTTGGTCACTACTTGGTTCATCCGAGGACACTTGTTGCCATTTAAAGAACGGCCACCAAGAGTCAAATGGACCTCACCAGGGAGCGTAAAACTCGACCAGCCACAGGCTGTCGCTCTGGATCACCTCCTTGTTGAAGTTGGAGGGGGTGAGCTCAACAACATCATCACTAGCGGAGTAAAGGGCTCGGACTGACAGCAGCAGGGAGCAGCCCAGCACTCCTGTTGGAGAGGATACAAAGGGGTTTACTCTCAACAATGCACGTTGTGCTAAAACGAGTCCAACAGTAAGGACTGAAAGGACATCACAAGCATATTAAAAATACAGTTTGTATGCAGAATTATGCAACAGCAAATATCATTTCCGTTTATTAATGCATTGATTGAATGATAATGGAGGCCTGGCAGTGATCTGTGCAGCTCAACTTAGCTAATCAAGCTACAGTAACACAACCGATGCCCAATACACCTATTATTAACATTAACACACAACAGACTGTTTCTCAAGTAGAAAGGCTGTTGGTGTTGTCACTTACCAAGTAAAAGTGGTCTCATGGTTCCAGCTGCTCTCTGTCTCTGGACGTCTTCTCTGTTAGCAACACGCGCAGACTGCTGCCGCTGCTTAGCTCTCCCAGGAAAAGTAATACGGAAAAAACCCCTCACCGTGGCCCACGCTGATTGGTCCACTTGTACCGATGCTGCGCCTCAGCCAATCAGCGTGCGCCGTGTAGTTTAGCGAGCCGATACACTGACGACAAGTGGATCCGTCTCGAGAAAGGAGGAGAGTATAAATTGCAACATATAACTGCATTAAGAGGAGATGCAAAAGTAAAAAATAAACATGAGAATAGAGACTAGAAATGCAGACAAAAAGCAGGCAGGAAATATTATCAGTACAGTTTATGTTAAGTTTCGAAAGTTAAAGTAACGTTAGTTATTATGTAGGATAATTGCTTCTGATGCAATAAGTTGTAATCATTATTTTAATGTTGCAGCCAGTTGAAGTGAAGCTATTCAATGCCTTTATAGACATCTGGGTTTGTTTGATTTTTAACAATGCATCATATTTTTACAAACTCAGCATCTTAATCTGCAAAGTCATTTCAGCAGTTGAATAATAATAGCGAAGTAGAATGTATTTACCTCTGAAATGCGGCGAAGCAGAAGTACAAACTAGCAACCTATACAATGGAAAAACTCATGTAAAGTAGGCTACAAGTACTTCAAACTTCAAAATGAAATTTAATCTCAAGCTGCCACTGATAATTTGTACATGTCCTTGGAAGAATACTTATTGAGAACAGAATAGAAATGTCTCAAGTCTTAATAAAGTCAGTATAATCTCAAGTCAATACATTTATTTGAAATACAAAAAATACCTTTTTATTTAAATCCACTGTAAATGTAAACACACTATAAAGGCATTTAATACTAACCAAAGTTTGACTTGCACCACTGTACTGTAGTCTTTATTTGAGGGTAGTATGGCTTTAAGAATTTGCAATAGTCAACAACTCAAACAGTGGACTTTATTGTAGTACATTGTTGTTTTTGTATCAGTTATTCATGGGTTCCTAATTTGCACCGCTGTTTGCGAGGAGAAACACGTAAGCATTTCGGCTGCTGTATTGTGAAGGTTGTGTCACTAGGTGGAGACAAACAACAAGGCAAAATACTGTTCGGACGCTGGTCTGTCTGACTGCCAATCAATAATTCAGTGTATGCTATTGCAGAATTGATCAGTTGTACTCAGAGTTCAAGTTATTTTGCGGATTTATATTTGAAAGTAGCCTCAGAAAACCCAATAGTTAATCTTTTTCGTCTGGGTAAATTGGTGATAGCCCATAATGCATTCAAAATGGATGATAGATAATGCGTCTTAGTCGGGGGTATAAAAAGAGGATTTTATAGGTTATTGTAAAAAAAAAGAGAGGATGATTTAGGTTTCTTATGTGTTACCTGTTAATCGATTACCTTTAACTAATTGTTGTTCTTCGAGCTGCCACAAAAACCCATGAGTGCGTGTCCTGGATTTCCCAGTTTGCTGCTTCATAATTCATTACATACAGTGGCGATACATCATGTGCTGCTCCTGTCTGCACTGCGCTGAGCGCGACCGGAAAACACGAAGATAGCCTTAGAAATAAAAGCATACATTTTTAACTGTGATTTTCTCCATTTGTTCTATCTCTAGTTATTTTGAGGGTTGTATCCTGATCTTTGGCCAATATTTTGATAGTTTTGCTAATATGACTAAATATGCCCAAATAGATTACCCCCTCTGATATTCTTACATTGATATTAATTTGTTAGGGTATCTAAATAATCACTTGGTTCGTTTGGGTGACATATATTGTTATTTTAGTGTGTGTGTGTGTGTGTGTGTGTGTGTGTGTGTGTGTGTGTGTGTGTGTGTGTGTGTGTGTGTGTGTTTTAAATACTTGCACATTTTCCTGCTGTTTTGCCCCAAATAAAGCATGATAAGAGTAAAAGTTATAGAACAAAGATTTGCAATGGTGGGCGTTGTAAGAAGACATCTTCTCAGAGAGGACATGGATTGATTATTAACTGCTGGATCATCTGGAGCTACTAAACATTTCTTTCATTAAATAATTGGCTCAAATTGCGTTCAGGAGTGGTTGGTGGTGTAGCAAGAAAAAAAATGGGTCACTAAGGATTTAGTTTGAAAGTTATTACCGGAAGTTAAGTGGTTTGATTGTGGCTCACTTGACGTTACGCGCACTTCAATACCAACTTTCTCAGAGCGCGCAAGAGTGTTGTGTTGAGCTGAGAAGACTTCACGCTGCAGTCACCTCTGAGCAAACATATGTATATATATATACATATATATATGTATATATATATATATAGTTCAACTAAAACACAAATATAAGAAGATATTTGGGGTTTTATGTGCAGCGTCGGGGCTTCTGGGGACTTGTGTTTACTTTGACGGTACAATTGTGTGAAAATCTCGGTGGCTTGGGCTGTTTTGTGGCGGACTTGTTGACAACATAATGTGGGGGATCCAGCGGACGCGCAATGGAGACTGCAACGGCTCTGACGCCAGCGAAGAGCCAGAGATTGTTGTGAACATCGGCGGGGTGAAACAGGTGTTGTATGGGGACGTGTTGAATCGCTACCCGGACACTCGGCTGGCAGAACTGGTCTCCTGTTCACTCAAGTCTTCCGAAGAAATATCCTCACTATGTGACGACTACGACCCTGACACAGGAGAATTTTACTTTGACAGAGACCCCGACGCGTTTAAGTGTATAATTGAGCTGTATTGTTATGGAGAGATTCACATGAAACGAGGCATCTGTCCAATTTGTTTCATGAAGGAGATGGAGTTCTGGAAGATCGACTCTGATTTTCTGGACGACTGTTGCAAATGCCACCTGAATGAGGTGGAGGATGAACTCGCAGAGATCGCAGAGAAAGTGAAAACCATCCTGGTGGACCGAGAGGGAGATCCGTCTGCAGCAGGCTGGCAGCGCTTCCAGATGTGCCTCTGGAGGCTGATGGAGAAGCCGGAGTCCTCGCTGCCTGCGCGCACAATCGCGATAGTTTCTTTCATCTTTATCCTCCTCTCCTCCGTGGTGATGTGTGTCGGGACCCTCCCCGACCTGCAGGTGGAGGACTCGGAGGGTAACCTCACGGAGAACCCAACTCTGGAGGTCATTGAGACGGTGTGCATCGGCTGGTTTACTATTGAATACATCCTGCGTTTGATCTCCTCCCCAAATAAAATAAAATTTGTCCTGGCTTTCATGAACATCATCGACTTCATGGCGATCATGCCCTTCTTCGTGGTGCTGATTCTGACCTCATTCGGCACAGGAGTAATGGAGCTGGTTAACGTGCAGCAGGCGGTGCAGGCTTTACGCATAATGCGCATTGCGCGCATTTTCAAGCTGGCTCGCCATTCCGCTGGACTCCAGACCCTCACATCTGCCCTGAAGAGCAGCTTCAAAGAACTTGGACTGCTCCTCATGTATATGGGCGTGGGGGTCTTCATTTTCTCCGCATTGGGCTACACCATGGAGCAGAGCCACCCGGAAACCTTGTTCACCAGCATCCCACAGTCGTTCTGGTGGGCTGTGATCACCATGACCACGGTGGGCTATGGAGACGTCTACCCCAAGACCACTTTAGGTCGGTGTAACGCGGCCATCAGCTTTCTGTGCGGGGTGATCGCTATAGCGCTGCCTATACATCCCATCATCAACAATTTCGTCTTGTTCTACAACAAGCAACAGGTGCTGGAGACTGCTGCCAAACATGAGATTGAACTGATGGAACTGCGCTCCGGTGACGGGGAGCTGGAGGCTGCGCCCGGCGCCCACAAACATGTTTGCGGCGCAGGGGTCTGGGACAACGCCATGCGCTCTTGTCACAGCGACACCTACATCCCCTTACTGAAGGATCCCAGAGGAGGGGCCGGGATCCAGACCCCCAGCATGGACACAAGCTTTGAAAGCACAGCCGAGGCCACTGAATATTTAATCTCATGAACACCGAAGACTCATCTGAAAAGACTCTGCAGAAAAACAACAACAAAACAACAAAGTAATCATTAATTGCTGACTTCTTTAAACTTAAACCCGCACTTCAGGGTTAATTATACCACGATGACATGGGGACATTATTGTAAATAGTCCTGAGAAATAGTAGGACCGCAGTAGGATGCTCTCGGAGGACCGTAAATGCATTTGAGGAATCGCGCCCATTAATTAAAAGAACATGTGTGTGAGATATTGACTTGATGAGCTTTGCCTTTGCGCAGTGACTCCCTGTTGGGCGGAGGGCTTCTGTTTGAACAACCAGTAGGCTTCTTATATAACAACCCCCATCCCCAACCCTCACACTCATACTGCACTGTAGCTTATATTTATCTGTACAGATATACATACAATAGATCCCGATGAATGTTTATGCAAAAAATAAGAAATATTGGCAGCTCCTCCAGGAGAAAAGATGTGAAATATAGTCATCCCATGAAAGGTTTATGAAGGGCGTACAGGCATGACAACAAAATAAAAAGGGAAAGACTTGGTATTTACCAGTGATGGAGACTTTTAATGCTATATACATTACAATACGGTCACTAAAAAGACACATAAAAAGTACACCAGAGACTATGATGGGTATGGCAGGGATTATAAAAGCATATCAAGGCAGTTTTTTTTTGTTTCTGCTGGTGATCTTCTGTAACTGACACTATGGATGTGAAGCAATACATCAGATATAAAACCCATCTACTGCGCAGAAGTGATGAAAGGTGTGAATGTGTCTGTGGGCTGCAGCTCCAGATAGGACCATGTAATCAACACTGCAAACTCAGAAGCTTCCTGCTGCAGGTCTTGTCCTATGATGGGTTTAAATTTTGCAGCAGCCATCGCCACTCTGCTCGTTTCTTGAGGTCCAGTGGAATAACTTGAAATTATGGGTGAGGGGAAGGAGAAACAGGCTGGTGGTTAAACGGAAATAATCCCAATGGTTAAATTATTAAACTTCAAAATCCGCTTTTCAAAGTGTAGGCTATAGCTAATCTGAAAGTCTGAGTGGAAAAGAAAGATTTCTGATGAAAATATAAATAAAAGTCTCAATAATGGGGACATTTTTTCATTAATTCGTCAAAACAATAAATGCATTAGCAGAGCAGCAGGTCATCAACAAGAAAAGATGGTGTCAGAGTATCAATAGGAAGTGTCTGCCTGTGAAATGTGTCTTAGTGCATTACTGCTCTTATTTTGATGAAACTTGAAAGGACGACATTTTCACACTGTGTCCATGTTTAAAAACTGCACTCTGAATTGGTTTAATGGGCACTATATTTAAAGGTTAAAGTTTCACAGTTTGAAATGTCTCTACTCCTACACCATTAGTCTGAGTGACATGAAACTTGCTGCACAAATAGAACAATCCTTACATGAGTTGTCAACAGCAGGGGAGCTATTATTAAAATTGGAAATAAATGTCTGAGATGTCAGTGGTTTAATCTTTTTGCAACCTGGAGGGATGATTGATGTCAAGGTTGTGTCCTGTGCCTAATCTTATTTTGTGAAATCTTATGAAATAAGTTTAATATCTTGCCTTGTGCACGTGATTTTCCAACCAAAATGGGGCATATGAAGATGAACAAGATGAGGGCATTGATAGCAGCAGGTAGCCTGAAAGTGGAGTGATGCAGAAGAAGAGGGTTTGGGTCATTGAAGGGGGAATATATGTTCTCTCAACTCTGGAATGTAGTCTACATATTCTATAACCAAAGTCTAACTTAAGATTGTCTTTTCCCCTCACCATAGCCAAACCACACAGCAGTGGTTCCCAAACTTTCTTTTTATATCTGGTTTACCTCCACAGCCCAAATACACTCAACTACAGCAGCACCATCATGTACCAAATATGTTCATTTCGATTGATTTTAAACCGGATGTTGTTTAACACTATTAATTTTTATAATAGTGGATATTGTTATAATAATATTTTTAGTTTCTGTTTGGATTAGTGATACTACCACTTGGACTGGCAGTATCACTAATCCATTTATCCATTACTTTTTTATTACTGTTTGGGAATAACTGCTGTAGAGTAAAAGCTGCCTAGCCTTAACTGTAACCTGCATGCAACCCTCAGAAAAATTAATTTTCAGAACTATTTTTGAAAAGATTGAAATGGCAAGTTGAAGGACATGAAAATACAAATGGTATGTTGATTTTGGTTTTTAAAAAACAACTTCACTGTTTGGCATGATTGGGGACCTCAAAGTAAAAAAAGTCAACTTTGAAGTACTGTGATTACTACACACCAGTCAAATTTAAAAAATGTTCTCTCGACAATATTCAGAGCGTTTCTATAGCATCAAACAACTCTTTGTAATGTAAAGATTGCAGTGGAGTAATAAGCAGATAATGCAGTCGCTTTCTTGCTGTGTGTGCTGTAATCCAAGCTTCTCTGTGCTTTGTTTACGTAGTCGGGCCGGGCCGGGCGTGCATGTTAGTGCATGTGAGCGAGTTCCACTGGCTAGCTCATGGTCGCCACTCTACACTGCAATCATCCTGACAGATGGCGTTGTGGCGGAAGCTTTTCCCCCACCAGGGCCGCCATGTGTCTTGCGACAGCTGACTCTGTGTCCCCCCCCCCATCTGACTGTTAGCTGCTAGCCTTCGGCTCAGCCGTCGCCATGTTCAGAGACTTGTGGAGACACTAGATACGCTATGAATTTTGAATTTAGCACCTGTAATGAAACAAAGACGATTAATATATCTTACTGCTGCCCTACTGACAGAGCGTCATCAATCATTGAGACAAGATGTCAATTTGTTTGATTAGTAAGATGGCACTGATTCAGTATTTTAGTTACCTCTTCAGTGATGTTTTTTACTCAGCTTCAGTCTAAGTTATGCAGCCATGAAAGAAAGATCATGTCAGAGGTTAGAATGGACTCTGCAGGCTGTCCACCAACACATGTCCGATACAGCACTGCTATCGCTCCTGGCCAGCAGCATATTCACACATGTCAAAGCCTGGGAGAAAGGCCTTTGTACACACTGACAGGTTGAGCCGGAACGTCAATGGCGGGCATTGTGTAATGTTCCTCCAGCAGATACACATGCAAATACACATGCAACTTCAGGTTCAAATTTAGATTTACAAGCACACGGGCATATACAAACATCCCCCTCCTCTCCACCGCCTACCTGCAAGTACACACAAATAATTGCATATGCACACACTTGTCCGCCCATGTACCCATGGCCATCCGTGATCTACTCTGCAGCGACCTGCTGTGATCTGCTGGCTAATCAACAATTTATGCACCCACATGTTGGTCATCTGTGGCATTCAGTGAGTGTTTAAGATGAGAGGTATTCCTGAGCTTTTACTGAAAATTGTGCTCATTATCCCTTCGCAAACAAAGTCACAATTATTGTGAGAAATACTTTTTTTCCCCAAATGCCACCAGTTGTTAAATCCTGAGACAGGGTTTTTCGAGTGAAGATGGATCTATTTTTCAACCCTTCTGAAGATATGGTGGGCAAAGTGTTTACTTGACTCACGGCTTTAAATAAAAAGATGTCTGAGGCATATGTATGTAAAACACGGATTTGTCTAAATCCTCTCAGCAGACTTAAAGGATCACAATCGGTGGTGGTGTGTTTGAGGAAAGTTCTCTTTCAAATTGTCCATCTGGTGATTTAATTATTGATGCTGATATTGATAATGGTGTTTACATGATGCTTTTATTCCACAACTATACGCCAAGATGCAGTGAGGGTGGAGAAGAAGAATTAACAAGGCAAAGTCTATAGCATGTTTGCTTCAATATCCATTAAATCTAGCGTGGAATCATGGAACGGCTTGAAGGATGCTGTAAATAAACACAATATGACATTCTGCCTGAACCCTCAGACACGTTGTACAATGCCATATGGTAATTTAATCAGCTATATCACTGTAGATGTACTTAGAAATATGGGCGCCATCAGAGGTGTTTGGTAATCAAAGTTATTTCTGAAACTCACGTGTCCCATCCAGCTGACTCCCAGCACCATTTGTTGTCTGATGACCGCCTGTCATGTTGGTATTGAGTTACACCCAAATATTTTAGATGACAGCATGAGTCACAGAGGCCCTGTTTGCCTCTCCCTACTCGACCTTTGGGATGGGGATCTTCTTCTACTCACGTCTAACAATAGAGAAATCCCTGTAGGTACTATAACAAATGGTACAGACAAATGGAAGTACAGTACAAACTCGGGCTAAGTATGTTGTGCATGTATGTCCCTACACAGACGTTTGGTGTGACATTCTTTATTGTTATTAAATGTTTTTTTAACTCTCCATTCAACTTTCCAATTCAAATTTCCAAAGCATCTGGGAGTTTCAGTCACAAAATTTGATAGGAGCAAAATTGTAGATTGACATATCAGACATGTTGGAAGGCCAAATGCTAAAACGTCAGACTACAAGTACGTTACAAATAAGGGAAGAGAATAGAAAAGAAAGAGAGACAAAACCAAGATGAAAAAGTGATTCAAACACATCATTTGTAAGATATTGCTCTCAAGACCACACTAAAAGCAAATAATGTCTCCCCTTAAACGGTACAAACGGGATATGCTAATAGATTTATATCCTGCAGAAGATGGTCAAACACATTCATTTGAATGGGAATGTGTTTGCATAATGTTATGGCTTAACAGCCCACCCCTCAGGGCACTATCTCTGTTTCAGAGATATGTTCAGCTGCAGGAGAGGGAAAAGGTAATTTCCCTGATGTCAGATTTGAAAGAAGTGAGAAACATGTTTCAGGAGCAGATGAGTTTCATTCTTTTTCGAAAGGAATGTTTAAAACGTTGCGTAGGTGCACCCTGGAGGACTTTAAATCTGGCAAAGAGCGGCGTTAAATTGCATGACAATAATTACATAGATTAAATATGACCTTCAACAAAATAGCAGAAAGGGATGGTCCACTGAACACACTCGACCCTTCTGCAAAAATTATTTCCATAACTTATTTTTCTACTGAACGTATCACTCCTTCCACTTCTTTTTATCTTGCAGAGTGTTCTCTTGCAAAAAGATCACGTCTGGGTTTGTGGGTTTGTATGGGAAAATTCATATAACTACCCGGAAATAATACAGTTTCATTTAAACAAAATCATCCTAAATACTGACCGTTCGAGGGTGAAGTGTTTGCTGGTACATTACCCTGGACTCGTAAAAGAAGAAAGGAAAATGTAACTGCAAATGCAATATGAGGAAAGTGATTTGCCTGTAAAGGAGTTGTCACTGGTGAGTGGGATTCCTTTTAGTCAGAGGAACTAATAGAGACATGGTCTGATGCAAAGCTTTTTCTCCTGCAGATTATTGAATGAGGGTTTGCAAACACTACGTTTCAGCTCCCAGACAGCTGCAGGAGAATACTTATGGCTTTACTGATACTGTGTGCGTGTGTGTTTAATATAAACCAGCAGTGGGTATCCGAATGGATACTAGCTCAATACATTTCACCTTTCCTTGTATGGAAGTAAAGACGTATGGGCAATATTGTGATAGATGTTCCCAAAATACGGTCTCAGTCGACATAAAAAACCATTTAATGCTATTATTTTGCTGAACCGTTCACCTGAAAATAATACAGAAGAAAAATAAAATTTTGACACTGCCTGTAGTCTCAAGTTTTTCAAGTTGTTATCTGAGTTGTGTTTTTTACGATGCCTTTTATGTGAAACATAACCGGGTGGCTGTGAGCCATCGCAGTTTAATGCTGAGCCTCAAGGAGGTGATGTGGCCTTAACTCACTGAAAGATCTGTGGTAGCTCCTACTTAATAACAGTACCTGCCCTCTACTAGTCCTCATGCTGCTCGAAGAACAAGCCTAGAATACAGACTCAGGGGAGAGGATCGTTAGCCCACATCAGATCCTCTCTTCTGGAAAATACCTGTCTGATTACATTTATGTTGGACAGTAACAAAAATGCAGCAACAAAAATGTATATGAACTCAGTATATTAGTTTAATCTATTCTCTCATTGTATTTTAATGGTTCAATTAGCTATTGTTCCAGGAACCTAATATGGAGGCATTATTTAGTGATTAGCATGCACAGTGGCTGTTATCTTAAATTGAATCAGTTTAATGTGGCTTTTAAAACACCGTCCAACAAAAATAATGAAAACAAAGTGTTCCTTGGTCTTCTTGGTGTGGGTTTTGCCACAATACTCACTCACCAAAAGTTGGATCTTCCACATACAGATGTATTTATACTCAGTCGCCAATTTATTAGGTGCACACAACTACAACAGCCCTGCAATAAATTAGATAAATAGATTGCTGACAGCTATATCTCTACACTCAATTCTGACTATTGAAGTTAAAATTTCACAAATATCCTCTCACTGCCAAAGTAAGTCATTTGCCATTGAAGCATTAAAGTAATAGTTTGACGTTTTGAAAAATGTGATCATTCTCTTTCTTGTGGAGAATCAGATGAGAAGATATAGCACTCTCTGTGTGATGAATATGAAACTACAGCCAGCAGACTAAAGAAATGAGCCCACAAGCACCTCTAAAGCTAGTTTATTAACACACTGTACTTGTTTGTTCCATACACAGAAATATAAAAATAGTAACTTGGCTATAGCTGTTTCCCCCTGCTGCCAGTCTTTATGCTAAGCTAGGCTCATTGCCACTTACTCTAGCTATGTACTTGAAATAAAGACATGAGAGTTTTATTACGATTTAACTCAAATTTTGGAAATATTCCTTCGAAAGTTGAAAGTTAAATTCAAAGTATTACTGAGAAAAACCGCTGACCTTCTGGTTCAGAAGGTCAGCGCTATATCCCTCAGGCTTTGTTTGAACCAACCTCACTGAAGGCAGGAACATAATGTGAAATCCCTTCTTTACATTTCACAGCAAGTCTTTCAGGCCGAGTCCCCCAGTGTAAACTGAATCCTCATTTGGTGATCATGAATATGTAAATTAAAAGTCAGAATCCTGATGTTGTTACCCTGTAATATATTATCTTGTGTTGTTTGAATTGTTCTTCAGTGGCGGTGTGTTTTGTGTTGCACTGCTCCACACATTGCTGTTGTGCTTTGATCCGGCCTTTGCAGTCTGAAATAACACCCTTCGCATTTCTGCCAAGCACAGTCTCCAGATGAACTTGGGCTTTGAAAGCTGTGTCCACTAACGACTTCAAATAACTTGTTCAAAGCCAAAGCTTGCTAAAGCCACCTCAGTTTATTAAAAAAAAAAAATCAATCCATCTGTTGCATGGCTTTTTAAGCAAATTAATTTATAAGGTTATAAATAACAACACATAAAAGAAATAAATGGCTCTCCTGTGTACCACTTCCTGCATACTAAAGAGCTACAACTGGGCCTGCTTACTCTCTGGTGCAAGTTGTTTTTTCTTTCCTCTCTGTCACTTAGTTCATGCCCTTCGCTAATGGTCCTTATAAAATGGCTTACAAAGGAAAAATTTCACTGCATCAGACATGTTGTAGTGGCCGTGTGTCACTTTTGCTGATAAATGCATGGACACCTAATTAAGGAAATTGGCCTGGAGAGACCAACGCCGAAC